ACCAAATCTTCAGCTTCTCCGCATATTAAAAATGTGCTTTCTATCATTGTACATTTGGATTTTAAATGCCCTTTGACTTTAACCAAAGACCTGGTTCTGTTGTCCCAAGGTGCAACCTGTGAAAGCTCAAATTTTTGTTGGTGCTTGAGGGACCGTATGTATGAATAACTGAGGGGGACCTCGTCCGCATGGACAGCTAAGATTTCCAGGTCTCAGCATCAAAAAAGAATAAAAAATCATTCTAAATTTTTAATTTTAAAAAGAAAAAGAAAAATTAATCTATTTTGGTAAATTATTTTTTAGATAAGTGTATTATTATCTTTTCCTCATCTCTAATTATACATAATTTTCATTCCTGATTCAATAATCCAAGATATTGGAAATGCAAGGGGAAACATAATAACTATCTTCAAACTTTTTTTTTTATATTAGTGATTATAAAATATTAAAAACCAAAAATTGTCTTAATTAAATTCGAAACATTCTGTCCATAAGTAACTCTTATTTATTAATAATACAATAATTTTATTCTATTTTTATGATCGGGGGTATCCAGTCCAACTTATAATTTCTTAGAACTTTAAAACTATTAATCGAATAAAAACTCTAGTATTTACCCTTATTAACAATTAAAGAAAGATTTGAATTCAGAACCTCTAAGTATGCATCCAAGAGTCTTTATCGATTATTCGACTACCCAAGATAGTTATAATAATTCTTTTTTAGAATAATATAAACTAAATGGATTGTTTTGATTTTGTTACAACTTTTCTTGTGCTCCATCGTATCACATTCAAAAATTTCTCTCAAAACGAGTTGAATTCTTTTAATTTCTTCAAATTAAAAAAAAAAAAAAAAAATTGCCTTATCCAACACGTAATTCACGGCAACTTTAGGGGCAAATTAGGTTTTTCATTACCCACAGACAATACAGCTATGCAATATACTGCAAAGCAAGAATGTACGTACCAGTCATAGCTAACAACAAAGGTGGCGAAGGCGAAGCAACCATTTCCTCCTTCTCTTCTCCAGTAAACCACACTAAACCCTAAAAATCTAATCCTAAAACTTGCCTTCTTCATCACTAGTTTCCAATCCCAATCCCCAATTTCCCCATTCATTTCCGCGCATCTTCGCTCTCCACTCAGTCACTCACTACCCCAGTCCATTCTCCTTCTTGGCTTCGTTCATTCATTCAATCTTCTTCTTCAATAGTCCACTCTTCCCCCATCTTCTCGTCTGATTCCAGTCCGTGTTTTGAACTTCACAAATGTAAGTAAACCCAACCTATTTTCATGAGTATGTTTCATTTTATCGCATGCCAGTCGGGATCTTGTATGTAATCTTCGTTGATTTCTTGTACTTCTCTGACAAACTGTTATTTTAATGTTATTGGGGCGTGCTAACGCTAAGTAGGTCTGAGAGAAAAATCGCGACTCTCTTTCTAATTCCTGTTTGTCCTCAGCCTCTACAAGATTTATGCTTGGGTCCACCCCCATTGTCTTCCTTCACCTCTAAGCCCATTCACTAATCCTCCACGTTAAGTTAAATGGACCAATAAGTTAGGGATCTAAATCTTCCATATCATCATATTGTCTTCAATACTCTGTTATTTTATTATTAATTGTTGGATAGATTATATAGGCTAATATTATGGTACTAAGTTTGAGAGAATATTTATCTGAGGAAGATGGCAGCGACATGGAAGCTAATTGAGAAAGATGTTATGAAAATTAGTGGTAGATGTGTAATATGAAAGATGTGTCGAACTGGCGATTGTGTGTACAGCATGATGAGTTTGTAATGGTGTATTTCTCTTTGAAGGTGTTTGTTGTTCACACATGGTGATAGATATTCTATACATCAATTGTGGCCCGGAAAATTTAAAAACGATGATTGGATGTTGTTTCTTGGTTAAACAAAGCACTTTTACTGGGGACTTAGGATTACAAAGTAACTTATCATTAACATTAATTTTGACATTAATTTTTGCATTAAATCAAAAACTTGGTCAGAGTATTTGTTTAATTTATTGCATTAATTTTGACATTTTAAAACTTCTTTGCATGTGTAATTTGAGGGAATACTTGAAATAAAGAAGTCAGATGTTGACAAAAATCTCTTATTTCTGGTTGGTTGTTTGACTGATTTTATATATGCCTTGCGCGTTGCGCCTTGCGGAGATTTCCTGATGAAAGTATCTTGTGCTTTTGTACCTAATGCAGGGAATCATGCATTTGAAGTCTCTGATGGCCATAAATTGAAGATCACTTTCTGGAAATTCAGGTCTTAATGATTTGATAACTTGGCATTTCTGAAATATTTGTGTGCTTTTTCTGCCAGTAAACTGAATTATAGAACATATCACTTCAATTCACCATATGTTAACACATCAGTCTGCTTCTTGAGGAATGCATATTTACAGTATAGAAGTGTATGGTCTGTATAGCGTAATATTGTTCCTCTTCATCTAGGATATGTTTCAAAAGGAAGTGAGTTTATTCTTGTAGTTTGGTATTGGTGCTATGTGGGGAAGCATTAGGTCAGACCTTAAGATTTGTGTTATACACATAGTATCTCATAGTTGTGTGTGGAAAATAATTTAATGTGCTTTAAGAATTTCTGAAATTTTGCTCTTGCTCTCTGGCTCACTTCTGCAAGTGTCCCAACTGTTTAAAAAAAAGTTACGATGAAGCTTTGCTGTGAATACATATCTTTACAGATATTTAAGGAGTTTTACCATGTCATTAGTCTTTCCTTTATAAAATTTATGGTTTCCAAGAAAAAGAAACAATTTTGGGGTAAAAGGTAGTTCATATTTTATTTGTTTATTCCACTTTTTTAGTACATTTTTGGAAACCAAATTGACTGCTATCCAGATTGACTCTCTTCTTCTTAAGAGTTAAATTAAGGGTAAAAGGTAGTTCACTTTTAAGCTTCTTAGTTATGAAGGTGAGTGTAGTGAAGTTTTCAGTTTTGGGGTATAGTGATTTGCTTGAATTTTGTTAGAAATGGTTGAACTAGGTAAGAAATTTGAGTTTTGATATACTCATATATATGACTGTGCAGATTGTTGTGTTTGAAATGATTGAACTTTTTTGAAGTTGAGTTTTGGAATGTCATTAATTTGGTTGTGTAGATTATGTTAGAAATTATTGAACTTTGAAGAAGTTGAATTTGCGAGTTACCCATTTGCTTGATTGCTTGATTGTGCTGGAAATTATTGAACATTAGGGGTTGGCCCTGGCTTTTCTGAGGCAAACAGAGGCAACGGCTGTCACAAAGGCTTCATGTAATTTATTATGATTCTTCAATCTTAGCGTTACATGTGGAGTAAAGCATTAGGCACTTCACTTGTGAACATTGTGATCTTGGTTTCGTTTATTTCCTTTTGATAATGATTACTTATAGGTATAACAATATAACAATTCGGAGAATGAACCATGATTTGCCAATGGTTAGATAGTGCTGAGTGACTTTAAGACTAGACATGTCCTTAATCTTATTTGATCTGTTTTTCTTTCTTGTTTTGCTTGTGCAATTAGGGTGTGTTTTGTGGTTCAGGCAATGGGTGTCACGAAGCAGGAGCTACCTGAAAGATACTTAAGACATGAGCATATATATGTGTGTTTTCTACGGCTAAAGATTATATATGTGAAAATTCAGAGAATGGATCATGATTTGCCAATGATTAGAAAGTGCTGAGTGATTTTAAGACTAGAAGTTTTCTTAATCTTATTTGATCTCTTTTCCTTTCTCATGTTTGAAGATGGTCTTATCTAAATGGCAGGCTTATTTAGCTACTCTAAAGTAAAAAATAATATAAGAATAGGAATTAAGAGAGCTTCAGTTTTGTTAGACCTTCTAAGATTGTACAGAGTTAACAAAATCTTATCATAAACTGGATGGAAAATTTGGAATGAACTCCTCATTGATTAATCATTTTTCATTTAAAGAGTGCCAAGGAGTTAAATTTAAGCAGCTGGGGATCAAAATTAAGATATTTATGAGAAACAATGAGTAAAGCATTTTGAAAACCTTCCTGCGAATTTTAATTACAAATTTGAGTAGGAGGTATATACCTCCCACTCAAATTTGCATCCGTTTTTTTAATTTGTTTTATGATTATGAACTGTTTATTTTATTTTTTATTTTTGTGGTGTTCATGCATCTTTATGTTGTTACTCTATTATGTATGTTCTCATTTTATTACACGATCAGAATCTAAAACAAATTGAATGTATATTTCATTGTATTTAAAATCAGTTGTGTATCATATTATAGAAATTTTGTTCATCAATTAGTCTGAACAATACTGGTTGTACTTCTTGCTGTGAAGTTCCATTTCTTTTATTTTTTTAGGCTTTAGTTAATAGTTTAATTTTTTGAGTCAAGTGGTTATTTGACGTGGTATTAGAGTTAATGGTTTTGTATTTCAATTTCTGTTGTATTTCTTTCGCCAGATCTATTAAATATCAAGATTAAATCAACTTTTAACATGGGAGAAACTATTAGACTTAAATATTGATAAATGATTGCTTAAAATCTTTGCAAAATTTTGTAATTTGTTAGATAGTGGGATGTGTTTGTGTCTAATTAAGCAAAGTCTGTTCATATTCCTATCAAGAAGTTGTATGTTTACCGTTCTCATGAATGCTTGCACCACCTGTCTCTTCCTTGCTTGGCTTGTTGCACTATGCAATGTTGTACTTTAGCTATGACTGAGAGAATATGTTTTCTCTTGACTTCTAATACTTTTTTACTATCAAATTTCAGATCAAATTAATTATAAGTAGATTGGAAAATTATTCTATTGCATATCAGACTATCTTCTCTGTTTTTGGCAATAGATTTAAAATTGGGGCAGGTCATTTCTTTATTATCATTGTTTCTTATTTGTGGAATAGAAAATTGCTTGTATTACTAAAATTGTTGTTAGTGTTTCTTAGTTGTTTATGTTGTTCATGGTAGTTCCTGTTGTTTTACTGTTTTCTAAATAGCTAAGGGCTGCAAAGTTTTTGGTTGGGCTAGTATGGAAGGACGAAGTGACCAGGAGAACCTTCTGCAGTTGATGTCACTGAACATAAGTGGAAATGACAATGGTGTGTCTTATGGATCTGAAGATGACCCAAATCATCATTCTCTTATGGAAGCTGGAAGGATTATTAACCAGCCTAATGCTCTGCCTTTGCCATCCTGGACCCACTTCCCAAAAGCACCTCGCAATTATGTTGAATCTCTTGCAGAAAACTCCACATTTCTTGAGAATGCTACTGGTGCAGATATGTTGGAGACCATTACTTCACCTATTTGCAGTATAAAGTCTGTTTATGGCATCTCCGAAATGCAAAGAGAATTATTGTTCAACGATCTAGGAAAATCTTGTGATTATGAATCTGCTGATCCTTTCCTTTCCGTGGATGCTTTAAAGGTAAAGTAACCTGCCTGTATGTTCAACAGAATGAATATCATGAATCTTTTGTTAGTGCTAAAAGAATTTGTGATCGTTGTTGAATTTACTAACAATTGGAGAGCATAATTTGACCCTTAACATATGAGTTCTATTCCTGAAACTGACTTTTCATATGATAGTTTGCTTAATGGAGGCTAACATATCCAGAAGATCTGATTATGATTTTTTGTAATAAGAACAAGGGTTGAAATCTTTTATTGTGTGTGCACTACAGGTAAGATTTCAGAATCCGCATAACGAAGTTGAATCAGCACACAGGTTTACAAGCTTTCAGCAGCAGATCCTCGCCCAGGTTAATTCCCTTTAACATCTATATATCTCTAAATAGAATTTGAGAATATTGCCTCTAGCAATCATCAAAGGTTGAAAATTTCACTGAGAATTTTATCATTCATCATGTGATGCTAAAATCTTGCAGCAGAATCATAGTTCATTGACACAAGAACCAAATGAAGATAATTGGAACGTGTCTCAACTTCATCCCAAAGTAACAATAACGCCATCTTTTCACCAGTCCAAGCGACGTTCCAGTGGGTCTAGACAAAGAGCTTCTGCAGTTGATCGTGTAAGCTGAACATCTTCTCAACACCTTGAAGTACTAATAGCACAGAACTGAACAGGCCAACAAATGGGGTTACTGTATTGTTTTGAAATGAATACAGGATTTCTCAGATTGATTCAGCATTACTAGAGTCTTGCTTTGATATGCTTTATTTCCTGAAATTCTGTTTCTCAATTCAGGATCGGCGGGTACGAATAGCTGAGAGACTCCGAGCACTGCAAGAACGGCTTCCAAACTCTGTAGAGGTAATATGTCTGTGCATCTATTTAAGGCATTTAAGAAAGCATTTCAAGACGACCATTTAACATGTACACTCAGGGTTTTTGTGTCTTCACAATCTTAGTGGCAATATAGAGATGGCACCACTAAAAGGCAAACTAGTACTTCCATTTTGTGTATACTTCCTGGCATCCCAAAGTACTTTAACCATACTGTGTGGAGGTTTAATCTAAATTTAAGGCCAATATTCTTCACGGGAAATGTAATAAAATTATTTATTTGGTTACATATTTATTTTGTAGGGTAACCAAGCAACTGTAATGGAAGATACTATTGACCATATCAAGTTTCTGCAGTTACAGTTAAAGGTATGTGTTCCCTGTCATGACTTAATTAAATACAAGGGATGTGCCCGCATGTATTAATGTGTATCTATATCTCTTTGTACGTGATCATTACATTGCAGTCATAATGCAGTATGGAAATTCAAAATTGTTAGTGTGGATGTTACTTTATTTTTCATTTCTGATACTTATACTCACTTGATAAAGAAAACATGTTTGATATATCTGCTATATTCTCGTAGATATAGTTTTCAAAATTGTATATAGAAAACATGTTTGACTTGTAGCAATGATGTATTAGAGGAGGTATTTATATTCTCGTAGTAATTTATTCAAAGGTGAAATCAACCACGCAGGAATTAAGCCGAAGCAGATTGGGAGGCCAATCAACTTCATCTCCTTTTGTTTTCCTTGAGGTATTAACAATCTCTGTCTAAGAAGAAGCTATGTAAGATCATCATAGTGCAGCTGATAATCAAACCCTAATGCTGACGATTTGCAGGGATTTGGTCACTATGTTCTCAATGGACAGATGACAAATGAACCTCTTGAAGAGATGATGGGGAAGTTGCTGGAGATGAACCCGTCAGCGGCAAGCCAGTTGTTGGAGAGCAGGGGCCTGTACATGATGCCTATGTCTTTGGCTGAAGATTTAAACCAAGCCTCCTAGATGCTTGGCAAGTCTATCTCATGGTTTTTCTTTTTGTTAACTATCTTCCTACCACTAGGTGTTCAACTTTAGTTAAAAGTATGTTCAGAAACGGGGCTAGAAGCTATGGCTTTTTACCATTTGTCGTGGCAAATTACTGGTTGAAGCAAAGCGGTAACATTTGATTCTCTTTGTTTTTTACTTAAATGCTTCGACGAATGTAGCACATTGTTTGAGAGTGAAAAGGAAACCTTTCTCTAGGCAAAAAAGATAAATAAATGAATGAATAAATTAAATAGTAAAAGTTGAAAACAACAGAGGCTACAGAATGCAAAATGGCTAGACATTTTGGAAAAAAAGAAGACAAAAAAAGGGTAAGCTTTCTCCTTGGTAGTTGTCATTCCTAAAAACTCACTTCGAAAACGGCCGGTTAAGAGAAAAATGAAGAAAGAATCAAAATTAAACAATCCTTTGTTTCTCATCATCTTCCCTTTCCCTTTGGCCTATCTGAATAGCAAGAGGCTTCTGAAGCTCCAAGGGAGGATCTGCCACAATGGGCAGCATTGTTGTGACCAATATATGCTTTTCTGAATTCGCAACCAGTGCTTTGTCCAAAGAAGCCTTCGCAACTTTCGTAATATACACTATCAGAATCACTATGTCCAACCACAAACAAGAAGAATAATGTCAGTAATTCACCTGATTAAGTTTTAGTTACAAAATTTAAATCAAGTTCATTTTGTTCATTGGGATTCTTATTATGAACAATATGATTTAAAGACACAAATATGAAGAGAACTAATATAATGAAGGGTCGACAAGGACTCACCAGATATCATGAGGCCCAGTGCCATAAGTACCTGCATTCAACACACAAATGCAGCATATGAAACAACAGAGTTACAATGAAGATAGTAATCCCAGATGCAATCAGAAACCCAACTGCAGTAGCCTAAGAAAATTTCTATACGATCCGAAATCAATTAGTCAGTCAGTTTGTTTGCACTACGGATTAAACTATTTTCAGAAAGATTATTGTTAAAATTGTTAGGATCTTCATAGCTTTAAAACTAATCAAAGTAAGAGGGTACTAAGCTAACCCAACGAGTGGTCGAAATTTCATTCCATCCATGCGTGACATCGGAAAGATCCTTCAAAGTTGTTCCAACATACACCAAAGCAGATGTACTTGGCTGTCGCAAGAAGGAAATCAGGAGATCAGTTTTCAACAATCAATATTACAACCAACGAAATCAGGAGATCAGTTTTCAATGATCAATATTACAACCAACTTAATGAGAGATCAAATAAAGAAAGCTCAAAGTATGTAACTGAATGAAACATTTACTTCTAAATTAGCACAAAGTTAATATAGCATAAAACTGGAAGCTTATAAAGTAATCCCTAATGGTGAAAGTGGATTGCTGTATTACCATCATTCCCAACCAAGAAGCCAGCATGTACTTGCCAATATGAACGGGAGTCACTGAGAGGAGATAATTTAAAATGGTAAATGGAAGCAAAGGAACAAGCCGAAGCAGAAAAACTATCTGTTGGATAAATCAAGAGAAAAAGAACAAAGGCTTAGAACCAGAGCAAAGAAGTTGAACCAAAAGAAAAATCTCCAATTTCGGATTGAAAACACCAAAACCAGAGTGTGATGCCAAAACTATAATTTAAAACTTACATCTGGATGCTTATAAATATTGAAGCATAATTTCAGTCACAGGAACCAACTCTAAGATCAGATAATATGCATTGCAGTCTCTACTTAAAGAACTAAAAAATTTACCGGATTCTAATTTCCCATTAATCATCTTTCCTGAATCTTGCTATATGTTTCTTACCGAAAACATATTTGATTTATGCCATGAATATGCAGATTCTCTAGTTCAATTTCTGTTACACATACCCAATTAGTTTAACTCTCAACCACTTCTGTTTATACCATCACAAGTCTTTTACATTTTAAAACCGCTGGTTGTTCAATATAATTTTTATCAGTCACTTAATGTATGAATGTTGATCAATTTGAGAATTAGTAAAACAAAGAAAAGAGCAACTATGAAAGAACAGGTAAATTTGCAATCAAATCAATATCACATTCTTGCATACTATTTTCTTAGAAAGGATCGAAAGAATTCTTGCCTTAAAACCAGAATTCTGGATTGCCATAGTGACTGCCTGAAACTTAGGATAATTCTTTAGCTTGGAGATGACATATGATCTTCCAAACTGCACTAGAGTATAAAGTAAGATACAAGTAGATGTAGATATGAAAATAAACACCGAAGCATACATATAGCAATGACAATAACAAAAAAATACATAAAAAAATGTTGCAACATTTCCCTTTTAGCATAGAAACTGACATTCTTTACTCAACATATTTTAAGTTATAGCAAGCTCAGTGCTCAGTAAAGCAGAACAAAATGCATACTCTCTTTCTAATATCTCTAATTAAGGTTTAAAAGGATGGGGCTTTGCCTCATTGTTAACAATTTATAGTCGAACGCATGTGCATACATACACACTATAACTCACTCAATCACAGGTTCAAGAAACTCACTGTTCTACCAATAAGGAATGCAGCAGTTGCACCTACGGTTCCACCAACAGAATCAATGATAAACCCTATTGGCAGTCCATAAAGATAACCACCTCCAAGCTGTAAAATGCCCCCCCAAGAAAAGAAAATATCACCACATGATGGCAGGTTGAACTAATAGAATATAAGAAAAATATCAGTCCCAAAAAATATAAAAGAACAAAAATTTGAGCCTACAGTAAGTATTGAAGCAGGAATCGCAAAGATTGCCAGAGGAATGTATGCAGCAGTCCTGAGAAATTCCAGGAAATAACAGTTAGATATAAAGCCTTAATCTCTTCATCTTAAGAGAAATCCTAACATTCAAGCTCAAAATAACATCGAAAATTGTTTCATTAGTAATGACTCTAATAAGAATTCAATAATATTTTCTGAGATTTAATTTCTAATATCTATAAATCTTGCATGCATACATTATGAGCATGAGAAACTTACATAACAACTGGACCCCATGGCCCAAGATCTTGCTTAATCCATAACAAAAACTCCTTCAGAATCTGTAAGAAAAAATTTCAATAAATATCACAGACCAAACATAAAATTTTCAACAATTCATGCTTATAGAGCATCAACAAGCAACAGCATTAGCTTCATTTATAAACATGAATTTACTTTTCTTAGTAACTGTTCTTATTTATTAAGAACATGAAGCGTAGGAAATATTGTATATGCCTTTTCAATGGGGAGGGAAACGCAGGCAATGCAAATGGCGGCGAGGAGGAGGAGCAAGAGAGCGATTCTGAAGGCGGAGCGCCACCATGTACATGAGATGACAGCCATAGCCACCACCATAAAGGGCACAGTCAGCTCCGCTGGTTGTTCCTCGCTCGCGCCACAGCACCCTCGCCTCAGCTCAATCTCAATCCCTCCTCCACGTCCCTATTTCTTGTTTCAGTTTTAGCAACCAAACAAACAAATTTAACTAACTATTTTCAGACGTAATGTAACTTCTTCACCTATCATTTCGGTGAATTTGGTCCCACGTAATCAGCCATTCCCATTAATTTTGTTTCTGTTATGGATCTTCAGGGCCCCACTCTGAGTTTCTTCTTACAGTCCCCCGCGTATATTAGTCCTTCCAGGCCCGTAGAACGGCCCATTAAGGATGGTTGAGGCTGACGCCCGCCCAATATCTGTTAGGCGGTCCAGCCCAACGCCCATAAATCAGTTATGTCGGCAGGCTACTATTTCTGTTACAAACATCATAATATGGTAGGAAGACGTTGATTTGACTAGTTATTTTATCTCAAGGCTTTGCTGTCTAGATCTATCAAATATATCAACACATATTTTATAATTCATTTGAAATATATATTTATAACATGTAGCAGTGTAATAGTCAAAACCCGTCTTATAATTAATGAAATTTTGTCATATTAAATGTCACGTCTAGGGGTGTAGCCGAGCCCAAGTCGTTCGAACGACTCGGGCTCAGCTTGAGAAAAACTTGAGATCGACTCGAGCTCGAACAATTCGGTGGGTTGACAAGTCAAGTATCAAACGTAGTGATACTTGACTCATAGGCTCATAAGCCTAATAATGCTTGATAGCTTATCAAGCTTTCGAGCTTGAATAAACTCCCGAGCCTTTTTAGGCTGATGTGATAAGTAAAAATGCCCCAAAACCTAAATAATGCCCTAAGTCCTAAGCGAAAACAGACACAACTCCCAACCCCAAATCGAAGAACTTAGCAAATAGTCGAATCTGCTTTCCTTTGCACCCCAAATTTCGGTCAGCCATCATCTCATATCTCATTTCCTCTCTCTCTCTCTCTCTCTCTCTCTCTAGGACAAGTATTAGTAAGAGGTAAGAGGGATCTGTTCTATAACTTCTGTTATATCAAGCTTTGTTCAGTTTAGGGTTAATTTTCAATTATATTGTGTTGAGTCTATTGAATGTTGACACTTGACATTGTATTATGTTATCACTCACCAAAAAGAGGTAACGTGTGATTAGTCTCCGTCATTTGCCGATTTGAGATTCACCTTAAGCCGTGTTTGGTTGGAGGTAATCCTCTATTACTGAGGTAATATCATCTTTTATTATTTGATTACCACGTCTGATTGTCAAGTAATATAAGATTCATATAATTTTCTAAAACCAATAGTATTTACTATTGGTAATATAAGAGGTAATATGATTACCTCCATTTTCTTAAGTATGTTAAGATTACTTAGTAATCTTAATTTTATTACAATTTTACCATTTATTAATAAAATTTTAGGATAATAATACATTTGTTATCTAAACAATTTACAATAAATTTATGAACAATTTTAACCTCATATTTAGGATTTTTAAGATAGAACTACCCTTGTACTCTAACCAAATTACCTAACCATAGCCCCCCTAACCACCCAAGATTGCCGCCGTCGGCCGTCATCAACAGTCACTGGAATGATGCACGGTAGACCGAATCTAGCCGATTGTGAGCCGGTAAAGTCGTTTTACAACTAGATCTATGGTTGTTTCACAGCCAAAGATGTGGTCATGAAACAGCCACAGATCTGGCAGTGAAAATGCTAGATCTTTAGCCGTGAATTATGATTTGCTTAGAGATTGAAGTTTGGTGAATTTGGTGACTGTTTTTGGAGTTTGTTTTGTGGATTGGATTTTTGTGTGTGTAGTGTGATTTTCGGCCACCTCTCATCTCCTATCTGCCTCTTACAAGCCACCCACATCTTTGCCCACCAACTACTTGAAGAAAGGCCTCAACCGCATTCATTCACCACCAACTGTTTGGGTTGAAAGAAATTTAGAAGGTTGGGTGGGTTTGGATTGAAGAGGGTGTTGGTGAATGAATATGAGATGTCTATGATTTTCCTAAAATTTTATTAATTTGGCTGGATGGTGATAGTGGCGACAGTGGCTGGGTGGTAGTGTAGTGGTAGTGGCCGGCTGTAGGGCTATAAATGAGCCGAGTCGAGTTTTCGACTTATTGAACTCTGCTTCTTTGCTACAAGATCAAGCTCGAGTTTGTCGAGTCGAAGAAAAGGGACTCAAACTCGAGCTTGATCGAGTTCGAGTCGACTTGACTTTATCTTCATCATCTGCATCTTTATCTCCATCATCTTCATCATCTGCATATCTTTATCTCCATCATCTTCATCATCTACATATCTTTATCTCCATCATCTTCATCTTCATCCTTTTCTTCGTCTTTATCTCCATCATTTTCATCTTCGTCTTCGTCTTTGTCTCCATCTCATCTTCATCTTGCAGAGCATCACGAGTTACGCAGACTTACACTACTTCCATCTCCATCATCTTCATCTTCATCTTCATCTTTATCTTCATCTTCATCTTCATCTTCATCTCCATCTCCATCTTCATCTTCGTCTTCTTCCTCAACACAACTATTATGTTGATTTTGATTTGATTTTTGATTATCAATATTTGCAAGAACAAATTTAGGGGTTAGGGTTTGTCGATTTGGGATATCTGATTTGGAGGTTTAATTTTGCGTTTTAGAACAAATTATATCGGGGGGTTAAATGTCATTTTTACAAATTTTTAAAACTAAAGAATATAGATAACACTTCAATCCCCATAGTTTATAAAATATAACCAATGGAACCCTGCTTAGTCGAGCCACATCAGGCTCGCGAGCCTACGAGCCGAGCCTCCTCATGTTCGAACTTGGCTCGTTTTATATAGCGAGCTCGAGCCAAGTTGACTTAGTTAACCACGAGCCGAGTCATAAACGAGCTTCAGACGAGCCAAGTCGAGCCAGCTCGTGAGCCGCTCGGCTTGTCTGACAGCCATAGCCGGGTGGTTAGAGATGGGGAGGATGTGAAGGTTGAAAAAGAGGGTGCTATTGCAATAAATTTGAAAGTAGGATGATGATTTTTTTAATTCTATTAATTTAGGGGTTAAAAATAATTTATTAATTTATTTGTTAAGGGCAGTATGATAATAGCATATTTTATATCTACGTCAGAACCTAAAAATTGTTAACACTGTTATTTTAAAGGTAGAAATCTGAAATTTATCAAACTAAGGGTGAGAACTTGCTATTTGGCGAAACCTTGGGTGGGAAAATGTCGTTTACTCTGAATAATTATAGGAGTTGTATTCATGTTGACTAAATTTCGGGATACATGTACCATCCCAATAATTCATATACTAAACACAGGTTGAATTGATGAATGCACACGAGTATGTTTCTGTACCCCTCCACAATGTCAAAGTCTTATTCACTTGACCATGGGGCTTCTTTGTGCCCCACAATCATCTTCCATGGCTTTGCCATCTGAGAATAACTCTCTTCATCTCCATCTCCACCGACACAACACCTCCTGTAATAAGTTTAAAATTTGCTTATTTACAAAGAATCAGTGCCTGGATTATAATTCACAAGGGCTTTGTGTTTGAGATCAGTTTTTTTTTATTTTTTAAGGTTTTCAAGATACACAAAGAATCAGTGGTCATGGATGAATTGGCCCAGCTGGGACTGGTGGGCACTAGAATTGCATCTGGCATGGATGTTAATTGGGATCTATAATATGGTTAAAATTGAAGTAAACTTTTAAGTCAATAAGCATCGCAGGCCCAGTTCCATCTCCACCTACTGCTACTTAACTTTCACAAAAATCCGGCGAATTTCCACTGAAAAAGACCATTTTTCTTTTTTCAGAGATGGATTAATCATGCATGGAGTATCCTATTCTGTAGCACAACATTAACAGAATGCCCTGAAGGGTTACTATTGCCGTGGTCCTCTCCCGCATTATTCTCGTTTTTGCATAGGAATATACGATTGATTATGAGGAGATTTTTGCTGGTGTTACTAAGATGAACTGTAACAATTATTGTCAACTGAAACTGTTACTAAGATGATCACGTTTCGTACAATGATTACTGTAACAATTATTTGGCTCAGAAAAATAATTCAGTAGAATGAAGATGTTTCCGGGAGAGCCACACACTTCCCATTCCCAATCAAATCCAGTATATAAGTGTTACGTTACGTAGGCCATTTCTGTTAATAATATGCAAACAAACATGGAAATGATTTCAATCTGTCTAATCACCAGAATTGCAGAAATCAAATGTTGAAAGTTTTGATTTTATCCCTAAAGTTCCGGTTCGCGTGATCCTTCCACCTTGTTAAACAAGACAACCCAATATTACAGTAGACAAGATTTGATGTATGAAAAAAATGAACTTCAATTATATTGATTTGATGCCCACTCGTGCTGTCATGAGCTTCGCTTCAAGCAGTTTCTATCTCGGCAGAATTTTAACTTCTTTCTTCTATTCTGACTGCTAACCAATTAATGATTGTTGCTCATTTAGAACGATACCCAGATGAGAAAATCATTAGTACTTTTGTTAGATAAGATTGTGGAGTGTTATGATTTGCTTAGAGATTGAAGTTTGGTGAATTTGGTGACTGTTTTTGGAGTTTGTTTTGTGGATTGGATTTTTGTGTGTAGTGTGATTTTCGGCCACCTCTCATCTCCTATCTGCCTCTTACAAGCCACCCACATCTTTGCCTACCAACTACTTGAAGAAAGGCCTCAACCGCATTCATTCACCACCAACTGTTTGGGTTGAAAGAAATTTAGAAGGTTGGGTGGGTTTGGATTGAAGAGGGTGTTGGTGAATGACTATGAGATATGTAGGCTTTTCCTAAAATTTTATTAATTTGGCTGGATGGTGATAGTGGCGACAGTGGCTAGGTGGTGGTGCAGTGGTAGTGGCCGGGTGTAGGGCTGTAAACGAGCTGAGTCGAGTCTTCGACTTATTGAGCTCAGCTTGTTTGCTACAAGATCGAGCTCGAGTTTGTCGAGTCGAAGAAAAGGGACTCGAACTTGAGCTCGATCGAGTTCAAGTCGACTTGACTTTATCTTCATCATCTACATCTTTATCTCCATCATCTTCATCATCTGCATCTTTATCTTTATCTTCATCATCTTCATCTTCATCCTTTTCTTCGTCTTTATCTCCATCATTTTCATCTTCGCATTCGTCTTCGTCTTCGTCTTCATCTTCATCTTCATCTTCGTCTCCATCTCATCTTCATCTTGCAAAGCATCACTAGTTACGCAGACTTATGCTGCTTCCATCTCTATCATCTTCATCTTCATCTTCATCTTTATCTTTATCTTCATCTCCATCTCCATCTTTATCTTCGTCTTCTTCCTCAACACAACTATTATGTTGATTTTGATTTTGATTTTTGATTATGAATATTTGCAAGAACAAATTTAGGGGTTAGGGTTTGTCAATTTGGGATATCTGAATTGGAGGTTTAATTTTGTGTTTTAGAACAAATTATATCAGGGGGTTAAATGTCATTTTTACAATTTTTTAAAACTAAAGAATATAGATAACACTTTAGTCCCCACAGTTTATAAAATATAACAAATGGAACCCTGCTTAGCCGAGCCACATCAGGCTCACGAGCCTATGAGCCGAGCCTATTCATGTTCGAAATCGACTCGTTTTATATAGCGAGCTCGAGCCAAGTTGACTCAGTTAACCACGAGCCGAGTCATAAACGAGCTTCAGATGAGCCGAGTCGAGCCTGCTCGCGAGCCGCTCGGCTCGTCTGATAGCCATAGCCGGGTGGTTGGAGATGGGGAGGATGTGAAGGTTGAAGAAGAGGGTGCTATTGCAATAAATTTGAAAGTAAGATGATTATTTTCTAATTCTATTGATTTAGGGGTTAAAAATAATTTATTAATTTATTTGTTAAGGGTAGTGTGGTAATAGCATATTTTATATCTGTGTCTAACACCTAAAAATTATTAACACTGTTATTTTAAAGGTAAAAATCTAGAATTTATCAAACTAAGGGTGAGAACTTGCTATTTCGCGAAACCTTGGGTGGGAAAGTGCCGTTTCCTGCGAATAATTATAGGAGTCGTATTCATGTTTGACTAAATTTCGGGATACATGTACCATCCCAATAATTCATTTACTAAACACAGGTTGAATTGATGAATGCACACGAGTATGTTTCTGAGTCAGTGTACCCCTCCACAATGTCAAAGTCTTATTCACTTGACCATGGGGCTTCTTTGTGCCCCACAATCATCTTCCATGGCTTTGCCATCTGAGAAAAACTATCTGCATCTCCATCTCCACCGACACAACACCTCCTGTACTAAGTTTAAAATTTGCTTATTTACAAAGAATCAGTGCCTGGATTATAATTCACAAGGGCTTTGTGTTTGAGATCAGTTTTTTTTTATTTTTTAAGGTTTTCAAGATACACAAAGAATCAGTGGTCATGGATGAATTGGCCCAGCTGGGACTGGTGGGCACTAGAATTGCATCTGGCATGGATGTTAATTGGGATCTATAATATGGTTAAAATTGAAGTAAACTTTTAAGTCAATAAGCATCGCAGGCCCAGTTCCATCTCCACCTACTGCTACTTAACTTTCACAAAAATCCGGCGAATTTCCACTGAAAAAGACCATTTTTCTATTTTCAGAGATGGATTAATCATGCATGGAGTATCCTATTCTGTAGCACAACATTAACAGAATGCCCAGAAGGGTTACCATTGCCGTGGTCCTCTCGAGCATTATTCTCGTTTTTGCATAGGAATATACGATTGATTATGAGGAGATTTTTGCTGGTGTTACTAAGATGAACTGTAACAATTATTGGTCAACTGAAACTGTTACTAAGATGATCATGTTTCGTACAATGATTACTGTAACAATTATTTGGCTCAGAATAATAATTCAGTAGAATGAAGATGTTTCCGGGAGAGCCACACACTTCCCATTCCCAATCAAATCCAGTATATGAGTGTTACGTTACGTAGGCCATTTCTGTTAATAATATGCAAACAAACATGGAAATGATTTCAATCTGTCTAATCACCAGAATTGCAGAAATCAAATGTTGAAAGTTTTGATTTTATCCCTAAAGTTCCGGTTCGCGTGATCCTTCCACCTTGTTAAACAAGACAACCCAATATTACAGTAGACGAGATTTGATGTATGAAAAAAATGAACTTCAATTATATTGATTTGATGCCCACTCGTGCTGTCATGAGCTTCGCTTCAAGCAGTTTCTATCTCGGCAGAATTTTAACTTCTTTCTTCTGTTCTGACTGCTAACCAATTAATGATTGTTGCTCATTTAGAACGATACCCAGATGAGAAAATCATTAGTACTTTTGTTAGATAAGATTGTGGAAGAATTTCTGGTTAAATGGATCAACACATTATTAGTCATTTTTCAGATGAAAATCAGGGCCCTACTCAGATCTCTTATAGTCTTAGCCTTTTGACAAAGCACGCTCAGTCCAAATTTTATAGATAGATAGATAGATATCTATAAGCCTAATCAATGAAACAAAATAACTCACAGTGACCACAGACTTACAAAATCAGACGGCAAATTTTCTTTTCTCTGAGACTTAAAAATTGATAGGGGAAAATGGGTGTGAAATGGAAAAATTTGTTAGGGGACCAAAAGAGAAAACGCAAGAACAAGTTGGAAAGAGGGAATCAGATGTTTGAGAAAAAAGAGCTCCGTGTAGAGTTGAGTCCAGCCAGTAGCCCAGTACTGTAAAGATTCCCTGAGTGTGCTGGGCAGAAATTTGCCTCACGACAATGGCATACTTTGAGGATCAAAAGTACTTCTATTTTTAGCGAAATGAACAAAATAAAAAAAGGCAGTGCTGCAAGTAGAATTATAAAAGTTATTTTGATCAAATATTGGTTTGGCTTCACATCCTTTTTGTAAAGTGCAAAACTTCCATTCCTTAAAAGTTCTGAAGAGAATTTTATATCCCATCTTGTGCGATAACCTGAGTGGAAAGACACTTAATCACTGCAAATGCCACAAATACAACCAATGAGAGACAAAAATGCCTATTAAAATCATATATTCTTATACAAATGGCTACTACTATAACCATTAACAGAAAATATATATCAAATCACTGAACAAACTCACTCATTTCTGCCCACTGCTTTCCCAGAAACAGCAATGCCTTTTCATGTTCTGTATGGTCAAGAAATTGTTTATTAATAATAACATCATTTCATTATTATTATTATTATTATTATAAATCATTTCCTCTAAGATTATTAATCAAAGCAATCAAACTTTTTAGAGGAATATTGTTAGAACCACTTTTGTGCTTTAACAGTGGACTTGAAAGAGACACAGTGAGAGTCTCAAATTGACATAAATATTTGGTTTTGAGTTGGGACTCTGTCTATAAATATTTATGCTTCAATTCCAGTTTGCCATGTCCAGTGAAAAGCCACCTGAACTTTGAAGAGAAATAAGAGACTTCAAACCTTTTCGATTTGCAGCGTTTCATACACAAAAGGGTGAGTTTCTGCAAGAAATCATGTCTATGTAAATATATGAATGTTCTGTTTCTTGTTGTGTTTGTTATTTTCGGTTTAATTTAATGCAAAAACTGACCTTTTTATCATGTTTTTTCACAGAGGTTCATCATGAGAATTTCAACGTTATTGCTCAATCATACAAGCCCTTCACTGTCTTCACTGGACATACCGACCGGGAGGCTCAAAATGGACCTTTTGCTACCCAGGAGACAGAAAGAAAAGGTTTTGATTGTAATGGGGGCAACCGGAGCTGGCAAATCAAAACTCTCCATCGACCTCGCCACGCGGTTTCCAGCTGAAATCATAAATTCTGATAAAATGCAAATGTTTGAAGGACTTGACATAACCACCAACAAAATCACAGAGGCAGAGCAGTGTGGAATCCTCCATCATATGCTAGGAATCCTAAGTCCTAATGCGGAGTTCACAGCTGCAAACTTCTGTGAAGTGGCTTCACTTGCCGTTGAATCAACTTTGTCTCGCGGTCAGCTTCCAATCATCGTTGGAGGCTCCAACTCATACATTGAGGCATTGATTGATGATAAAGATTTTATATTCCGAAAACGATATGACTGTTGCTTTCTCTGGGTAGACGTATCAATGCCTGTACTACATTCATTCGTGTCAGACCGAGTTGACAGGATGGTCCAAAATGGGATGGTGGAAGAAGTGAGAAATATATTTGATCCCAAAGCTGATTATTCTAAGGGGATAAGAAAAGCAATTGGGGTGCCAGAGTTTCATCAATACTTCAAAGAGGAACCATTTCTTGATGAAGAAAATCGAGAAAAAGCACTTAAAAAAGCCATTCAAGAGATAAAAGACAACACATGTGAATTGGCATGTCGGCAATTAAAGAAGATACATCGACTCAGAACCGTCAAAGGGTGGAATATTCATCGTATTGATGCAACGGAAGTGTTTCGAAAGCGTGGAAAAGCAGCTGATGAAGCGTGGGAAAAGCGTGTGGTTGTCCCAAGCACTACCTTAGTGGCAGAGTTCCTGTATAATCTTGTCTCCATGGAAGTCCCCTTCTCCGTAGCTGATATTAGAGATTACATTACACAATGCCTTGTAGCATAATCTACTTGTCAAAAATTCAATTTTGATGTGCCCTTATAATCATATAATGTTACTTCAAACCATAAAATAATCAATAGAAATCTACAATTGAGCTTTGCCTTCTTTATACATACTCCCTCTCTCAATTTGTTTTATGGTGACCAGTGAGTGTAGGATATTTTTAGAAAGAGTAAACGACTTTTTCTCACCTGAGGTTTGTCTTGATGACATTTTCCACCCAAAAAAGTTTCAAAATACCACTTTCCCACCCAATGTTTATATTCTGTTAATACTCAAAATACACTTTACTTTCTCAACCAGCATTCAGCGAGTTATCAAGAACTAGGGATAGGCATAGGCCGGGGACCCCATTCCTCGTCCTCATCCTCGGCCCGTCCCCACTGGCGGGGACAACTCTCATGACCGTCCCCAACCAGTGGGGATGGAATCACTCCTATCCCCGTCCCAGCTCGGCCCGATGAACAAGGCTTTGCAAGGAAATTCGCCCGCGGGGATTTTCCCCCGAACATAATTAAATATATCTAAATCTAATCTTAACATAATTTATTAGGTAAATTGATTAATTATTCAATTGTATAGAGGCTTAAGCTTAGTTAGCCCTGTTAATTAATTAATTTTTCATAAAATAAATATATCTATATCTAATCTTAACAAATTTATTTGGTAAATTGATTAATTATTCAATTGTATGAAAGCTTAGGCTTAGTTAGTCATGTTAATTAATTAATTAATTTTTCACAAAATTAATATAACTAAATTCAACTTTAACATAATTTGCTAGGTAAATTGATGAATTAATTCATAAAACATTATCTCCACTACAACTAATAAAATTAGTCCATTTTTTAAAGGGACAAATCTCATTATCCCAAGTTCCCAACATTGATTAAGTTTAACATTATATTTAATTGACCCATTAACTAATTACAAGGATAATTAAATTTGTGTAATTTGTAAGTCGTTAAGCAATTGTGTATATTCTTATATTGTTTTGGTAAATTATAATAACATAATCAAATTTATTTTTGGGCCATGTATTATTTTTTCGTGAAATGCACAAAGTAATAATATATATATTTAATTATTAGACTCTTTCGTTTAAATTATTTTTTCTATAAATTTAATAAAAACATTAGAAAGTATTATAAAAGTAAATATCATAAATTTAGATTCATTACTTAAAACTATGATTTAAATTCTAACTTTATATGCAATCTTGCAAAGAAAAAAAAAAATTCTCAATAAAAGAAGGCGGGGCTCCATGGGGGCGAGGATTTTTTTAAGGATTGTCCCCAGCCCTATCCCTGATTTCCAGGGATTCCTTGCTCCATTTGGGCCGCTTAGGTCGGATCTCCGCAAGGCTGGGGCAAATGCCCATCCCTACCAGGAACCAGGGTAAGAGGGTGGGTTTTTGTAGTGTGAAGGCCGGTGGATTGAATGGTGATGATCGATTGAATATTCACTATCAGAATCAGTCGAAAATCAACTAAAAATAGAAAATCTAGCTTTGTGATGACCGACAATCAACGAGAAATTAGATGTCAGAGTGAGAGAGGTTTTGTAGAGAGGAGACTAGAGGTTCAAATGGTAGTGACAAAGAGAATTTTAGCCACCATAATCAACTTTGGGTAGTATCAGAATATTAACTTTGGGTGGAAAAGTGGTATTTTGAAACTTTTTGGATGGGAAAGTGTCATTAAGGCAAACCTTGGGTGGGTAAAAGTTGCTTAGTCTTTAGAAAACCCCATAAATGTAATGATTACACCAGACTACCTTTAAGTATCAGAAATAGGACTAGGACTCTAGCGGTCTAGCCCCTTTCAAAAATATATATTCCTTTAAGTTTAAAAATGACATTTTTACCCCTAAAACTCTACCACATTACCCTTTCCCTACAGTTGCCGTTAGACTCAGAGTCACTGCTAACGGTGATTTTGTGCCTCCACTTGAGGCCATGGAGGTATCACAGTATCGGTGGATGTTGCAAGGCCTCATAGTAGTAGCACAAGGCCTCCTAGTAGTAGCACAAGGCCTCCTAGTGTTGTTGAAGGCCAAAAAATGAGATCACGACACCAGTAAGGCCTCTAGAGGCCAGATTCGGCCTCAGGGTTGTTGCTTGAGACTAGATTCGAACTCAAAAGTTTTACAGGAGGCCAAATCATACCCTTGGTGTAGAAGTGCTATACATACGAGATGTTGCTGAAAATATCCCGTGAGTTTAGTTTAATGTAAGCACATGTGATAATTTTTAATATGGTAACAGCGGCTACAATCCACCGCACCAATGAGCATATACAGCCGTACACAGAGAAGCCGCTGACTTCCGTAGCATTACTGCATTAGTGGGTACGAATTTATCTGTTCTTTAATTGTTATCTTCTCTCTCTCAGCCTCAGGTCCCATTAACTCAATGGTGGTAACCCATGATCTCGATTGCTTAAGAATATTGAGCCCTTTTGCAGACAGTCAGTAGTGAAATGGAAAAAAAAGGGCATATGCATAAAAAGAAGAATATAAGAAGAAGATATTCTACTTGCCAAGTTTGGTTTTGGTTGCATGATTAATAGTTTTGATGATTTAAGTGCATTATGAGTGGGAAGAATGATCAGAGGAAGAAGAAGAAGAAGAAGAAAAGTACAAGCAACAATTTGTTGATTTATTGGTGGTGAAAGTGTTCCATCCAAAAACCCATTGTCTCTTTCATCCCACTTAAATCCACCATGATATATCCTTACGCGTATAAGCATAAATTAAAAAGACTGCATCAAATCAAATACTCCAAGGACCCACAAAAGAAAGAAGTGAAAAATTAATGGGTTAAACTCAGAAGAATTCGTATCCTTACTCCATCACTTTCAACTTTTAACCTCGTTAGATAAGGTTTTGCCTTGATGAGCATCCATAATTAAAAAGAAAAAAGAAAAAACTTTGTTTTTTTTTTTTTTTTCACCAATCAAATGGGTTTGGCTTTAAAATTAAAGATGTTTGGATTATTGGATAGGTTCTGGGCACCGGGTGTGATGGACCACCTGATAAAGGAGAGAAGAGGTTCTTCGATATACTAAGATGTTAGTGAATTTATTATAAAGAAAAGAGTTAATTTAACGGTTTATGGAAGCGGGATTTTTGTTATTTAAAAAAGTTGGGATTTTTGGGTGAGCGAGAGATGGTTTATGTCTTTTAACTCTGGGGAGAAGGAAAGAATGATTGGGAGAGGAGATGAGACAGGGTAGTTGAGCAAACCGTAAAGTCCAATAAAACTTATTCGTTTTTGAAGAAGAAGGTAAACTTGGAATAAAACTTATTGTCAATCAGTCACTATCTTGTAGCTTGAAAAAGAGGTTCTTTTTGTCGTCTTCGATAACTCTTGAAAATATTCTCTCATGGACGTAATGGGAAAAATGCGAGACGAATCCATTGATGAAAGAAAGAAAGAAAGAAGATTGAAAAACTTTAGCTAAAAGCAATTCCGTTTTATGATGTCAAATGATTCATCTGTTGCACTGTGATAAAGAAAGGTCCAAGCCAAACTTGTAGCTTGGATTGTTGTTATACAAAATCCAATGAAGAAAAAAAAAAAAAAAAATAAGCATTTCCAATTCCAGCTTCTACTTTCAATAAGCAGTCATTTTCATTCATCTAATAAATTTAAATGCATAAGCACTTCCCTGTAAGAATGCAGCAGCTAGTTGTGAATTTAACTGATGAAACAGTATTAATGTATAATTATTATTACAAGAACTGACATTAGAGACTACAAACATAACAGTAATGAGCTAAAACTGACTCATATTTAAGAAGAAAATCACAGTTCAGTTTAGTTGTAACCAAATATAAGCATGACATTTTTTTTTTCCATTATGTTAAAATTAAGCGCCCTGAGCAACTGTAAGTAACGTTGCAAGACTCATCAACAATGACATTGTACTCGTGCACAGGCCTGGCAAGGAAGACAGGTAAGTGAACCAGCAAATCACAGACACACTCATTGTCTACCTCCTTCAACCAGCGGCAACAATCGCCTTCCTGGGGCGTTTCTCCAGATCCATGATGGTGCCTGTGTTTGTGTCCATGTCCGTGTCCGTGTCCATGTTCATGTCCATGTCCATGTCCGTGTCCGTGTCCGTGTTCATGTTCATGTCCGTGTCCATGTCCGTGTCCGTGTCTGTGGCTTGAATGATCATCAGGCGGAGGGGAAGGTGTCGGCGGGTTAGGTGGTAGAGGTGGAGCCGGGCTGTATGGCAGCATTGAACATGCATAGTTTGCAAGACGGAATTGGGAGACACAGAGTGGGTGTACAGGAATTGGTGGTGTTAATGGCTTCGGCTTGAGCGGCCGTGGCATCATCTGGCACTCTATATTGGTAGAGAGGAGTACCAGAAACATAAAGAGTGCAAATGAAAGAATCTTGATTCCCTCCATTGAAACTACCTTCATTTTCTTTTGGTATTGGTATTTCAGACTAGTTGTTGTTGCTATTTATGCCTGTGCATTCATAAATTTCTTGTTTCCTTTAAATGTGATTTCGTGGGGATTATGAAGAATTTAAAATAGCGAAGATAAAGGGAGTGAGTCCAGTTTCTTATTGATGTTATGGAAGAGTTCAGGTGCTCATTGGTTGTGTATGTTTCATTCATTTTGTGTGGCGATTTGTTAGGTCAAGTACTGACTGATTTTAGGGGCTGTTGCATATCAACAAACTTGCGCCCACTATATTTGCTTATAGAAGAAGCCAATTCATACCCTATTTTGTAATATTAAACAACCATTAAAAGCAATGTAAACAAGGTAAAGATTGCATGTACAATGAAATTCATGCAAATTGCGGTGCCGGCTCTTTGACAAGAAGATTGGAATGAAAAAGGAGATCAAATGCCTCCGGATAAATTCGGTCATTCATATCAATACAATCATAATTATGTGAAATACGGTTTTTGGTTTACAGGATTTTGCAAAGTAGTAGAACAACACAACACTAATCACTAAGGGAGCATTTGGTTAAGAAAATATTGTATAAAAGATTGATTCCGTTGAAGATTTATAGGTATATTATATTGATATGTTTGTTTGAAATAAATAAATGAGTGGGTATGTCATATAAATTACTAAATTATCCTTCTTTTTTAATATTATTATTGTTTGATTATTTTTTAACAAACTACATTTGAGATTTTGCTAAAACACCCAAGCCACAATAAAAGTTTAAATTGTAACAATAACAACCCCACCCACCTAAACCACTGTCAGCGGCCGGCCATCACTGTCGGTCGTGGCCTAAACGACACACGACTGGCTAGATATGGCCGACCGTGCGTCGATTTGGTTGACCAGATGGCCATGGATTCGGCTGTGCTATTAACGACCATGGATCTAGCTAGAAATAGCCAGATCCACGGCTATCTAGTAGTTTTCGACCATCGATTTGGCCATAAACGGTCGGGCAGATCCAACCGACCGTGCCCCGTTTCGACGATGGATGCCAACGACCGATAACAGTGGCCAGTGGCTAGTCATGGTCTTGAGTAATTTGGTGGAAGTGCAAGGGTATAAATGCCTTAATATTATTCTGTATAAGGTTAAAATTGTCCATAAAAATTCTTGTAAATTGTTTAGATAACAAGGACAGTATTGTCTTAAAGTTTTATTAATAAAGGATAAAATTTAACAAAAGTAAGATTACTAAGTAATCTCAGAATACTGAAGAAAAATGTCGTATTCATATTACCACTTGTATAACCAAAGAGTGATTACTATTGGTTTTAGAAGATTATTAGAATCTTATAATATTTGACAATCAAACATCGTAATGTCAATAATAGATAATATTATTGGAGTAATGAGAGATAACCCCCAACCAAACAGTCCCTAAGGGTGCGTTTGATTCAGGGAATATTGTATTACTAGGAATGTTATATTAATGAAAAGAAGTATTACCTTGAAAGTTACTAAGAATGTTTAAGAATGTTTAGGAAAATGTGTTTGTCTAGTTGAAATAAATTGGTGAGTATATTATATTAATATGTTTGGTTGGGAGGAATAGATTGGTAGGTATGCTATTTAAATTACTAAATTATCCTCTAATTAAATATTATTATTTAGATTATTTATAACCCACCTACATTTAAAAACTTAGCAAAAACAACCTCATAATAAATGTTTGAAAAATCAACAATGCACCCCCACCAACCCAGCCGCTGGCAACCATCGCGAGTCACGGGTAGCTAGCAACCTAACAACACACGAAAGGTCGGAAATGGCCAGATCGTGACAGATCTAATTTAGTCGTTTCCGGCCAAATCTCTAGCCGGAAATGGCCATATCAACGCACGACAACCATTTCCAACATTCCGTGCGCCGTTCCGACAGTGGCAATGGCTGGCCACCGATAGCAGCAGGTGGCCGAGGGTGATGGCTTGGGTGGACTGCAGTTTGTTTTGAATTCAAAAATAATTTTGTCCAAAAAATTAATTAATTGGGGCAAATTTGTAAAAGACAGATTCATATAAATTGATTTTAAAACAAGGGCATTATTATCCAAAAATTTTATTAATAAGGGATAGAATTGTAACGAAAATAAGATTACCTTGGTAATCTTACAATACCTAAGAAAATGGAGGTTATCAGATTACCTTCAATATTACTAACAGTAACTACTATTGATATTTGAAGATTATCAGAATCTTATATTACTTTGACAACCAAACGGGGTAATCAAATAATACAAGATGACATAACCCTAATAATCTCATATAACCCTTAACCAAACACCCCCTAAGTGTAATCTGGTTAGCATAGAGTAACTGAAGCTGAACAACATTTACATTACCCATTGAAAATAAGAAAAGAATCCCTTTGGTTGCTATTCTCGGCAAAGCACAAATTTGTCTCAAATCTAAATAATAATCTGATAGAAGAAACCAAACCGTTATTCATTATCGATTAAACCAAACGATTTCCTCTCCAAGGTCCAACATTTGGCATACATTGAAAAGGTTTTGGCCTCAACTACTGGCTCATAACTGCAGGTGAGACAAACCAAACTGTGAACAATAGCAAAAGGGGATCCAAGAGATCCTTTATACGTTTAAAACTTCAGCAGGCACTTAAAAAATTCAACAAACAATACTTTTGTCTCCTGATGACGTGCTCAATATCAAAACCTGAAAAGGATAGCAACAAACATTTAATTCATCAGATTAAAACTATTACTGATCAAATATTCTCATTAATGACAATCAGTCAAACAAGTAATAACACAATCGCCAATCCTGAAAAAGAAGCAGGCAGAATGACATCCAATTATCAAACTGGTAACAAACTAATAAGGCAGGATCAGAATCACCAAAATGTCTTGGATTCATCAATCTCCTAAAAGATCAAACTTTTCTACCCTCTAGAGTTTACTTAACAGACACAATCAAACAAATATCCAGTTAACAATGACTTAGATTTGCCAATCTCCTTAAAGATCCAATATTTTCATCCCTCCAATGTCTACTAAAGTCAACAATCAAACTAAAAATCTGGGAGTTAAGAAACTGTACACATGATATGAGAAAAAAAACAAAATACAATCCCATTAGATCGCTCACTAAATGCACTCAGCACTTATGAGACACACAGGTCTCAACAATTCCAATATGAACAAGGGCTTTAACAAGCAACAAATTAGAACGTGACTTTATAGTATTCTTGTGAACAATCTATCTGGTAGGCAGTATCTTTGGTAACCAAAACTGATATCAAAATACTATTGTGAACAATCTATATGCCGCATACTTGGTAACTAAATAGAGAACAGAAAAAAGCATGCTTAATTTGTACTCTACACAACTTCTTTAGAAAACAGAGACCAAATCCTAGTATTTACAGGTTATCCGACCTTTGGGTTTGCATCACTAATTGCTGTCAATACATACATTTTGTGAAGTGCATTGAAAAAAAAACATTGGTGGATGGGATATGAAAAACATTTTCCAAGGGAAAAACTTTACAAAGCATACCACAATTTACCTTTTATAATTGCTGTCATGTCCAAAACAACTATACCAGACAAGAAAAAGGCCATAGTTGAAACAAGAAAAGAAGTTTCACCCTCTCAATGCACAAAATTTAGTGACTTCAACAATTAAATTATACCTTAACAATAATATCAGGCTGCTCAACAGTATATTCAACAAACATTTTGCAGAATCTTGAAGACGAGGCAGCAACCATCTCTCACAATAAGAAATTAAATTAACTCAATATCAACAATCATTTTTACTCTGAAATTAAAGGCTTTATACCTGTTATGAGGTTTTACATTGTGAAACTTTCCCATCATATTCCCTATAAACTTTCAGATTCACATCTGCTCATTGCACCCATGCTCATACAATTCCTCCTCCTCATTTCTCAAGGCCGTCATCTCTATCTCCTTCTTAAGCTCCTCTCTCTGCACCTTCAACTGTTCAGCTCTCTCCTGCCTTCCTTCCTCCAACAACTCAACAAACTTATCTTTAATCTCAAGTAACGGATCCCTATCAATCAACTCGCTATCCTTATACGCCTCCCTCAGCACTGCAGTCTTAATGCCACCTTTCAAAGACATATAAAAGATTCCTGAATGCCTAGTGAACACAGTTGAAAATGCATTGGGAAACCTATACTCATCATTAAATTTCCCCAATATAGGCACAGGAACTCTCTTGAAAATCGATAGAGACAACAACTCATGAAAAACCCCAACTGTTCTTTTCTCCATTTCTCTTGAAGATTGTGGTAAACTCGATACATCCTCGTATGGAGATATATAATCCAGCTCCAACCAATCTCTAGTCCACTCTCTCATTTCCTTCCTCAAGTAAAACCCTGAAGGTAACTTCACATTGAAGTTAGGTCTAACACGAATCCCAGTTACTTTAGCTTCCTCTTCAGCTCTGAGCTGAATAACAGATTTCGCGAACTCGGGATTCCAAGATTCCAACTCTAAGAACGATTTTCCCTCTCCAGGACACCCAACTAACTTAAAATAATTAGGATATTTAGGCACTAAATTAACCAAAAAATCATTTGGAAACCCGAATTCTCTCTTCACATGAACCAATTTATCAATACTAATTACTTTATCCTTAGACATCATCAACAATTTACACAACTTAGCCACAATCAACCCCTCATTTTGAACACATATTTTTCTTTCCTCTTCAAGGAAATCTCTAAGCTTCTCACTGGGACGCAAAAACAAAACCTGGTTGGTTTTGGGTTTAATTCGATCATAGTAAGAGTCAAAGAGACCCGGGTATCGATTTAGAAAGGCCTTGATTCTGACTATAAGGCGTAGTCTTTCGCGACGTTTTTCGAGGTAAAGAAGCGGGATGACTTGACCCGGTTCGTTCAGGACTTCCTTCACGACCCGGGAACAGAGCTTGTATTGTTTGTCATCCTCTATGGCTTGGTCTAGTTTCTGGTCTTTTCGCCACACAACTTTCAGGCTTGAAATGGGTCTGATTTGGCGAGTGAAGTTAGGGTTCGTGCGAAGGTTTTGTAAGTAAAACAATAAAGCTTTGGTTTTGAAGAGCATACCTGAAATGTTATGCAATCAATCAACTAAAACCACTCTGCGAGCAACGGAGCGAGGGAAAGAGAGAGTGACAGTCGGTTAAAACCCTAATTCTCCGGAGGAAGAATGCAAATTGAAAAGTGCAAAACGGTGCCGTTGAGCGCTTCAACGGACTAGAAAATATATGATTAATAACAATTTTTGATTAAGTGGGTGATTATTATGTAATTAGAAACAGAGTAAACGACTTTTTCCACCATTATTTTAATGACATTTTGTACGGTTTAATCACATTTTCTCATCTAATATTTTTAAAATATCATTTTATTATTTAAATTTATATTCTACCTCCGATTTTGGCATCGATGTCACCCCATACCATCATCATTCTCTTTCACGATCATCACTCATCAAACCCTCTCAAACCTTATTTCTGTCGATCTCACCAATTATCGACAATCAAGCAATTAAGGTTTGCGCAGTCGCCTTTCCCAAGTCAAATTCCGATTAATCTCAACCACCAAAATTCAATTTTCGATGAGTAATACTATACTTACAACCTTTTTTATACAAACTTTCTCTTACAAACTTATGTGACAAAAGATGATTAAGTGAAAATTTATTTTAAATTTAAAATCACCCAATCATCTATTACCACATAAATTTGTGAGAGAAAATTTGTATAAAAAAGTTGTGGATGTAGTATTATTGATCTTCTACCACCAAAAAAAACTCACCAAAATACCCTAGTTAGTAAATACGGTTACGGCAAAAAAAGGGTACGGGAATTTTACCGGTATAATACGGCAAAAAGTGAAAAATATGTTTATAAAAATTTGGCCATAAAATTTGGATACGGGAAAAATACGATACGGGTATATACAGGTTTAATACGATGTATTGTCAATAATACGTTTTGAAAAATATGGTAATATCAATCTTAGTTTTAACATTTTTATGGATTACCTGGCTAAAATCAATATAGTATTTCAAATACAAAGTATTCAATTAACTAATAACACAAATATACAATATATAACTGATATTCAAATTATAGTCTCCAGACTTAAACACAATATTTAGCCATGATTCTTTACTAATTTAAAACTTGATAAGTTTGATATTGAATGCAACCAAATTTAACTTCCCATCAATCCATTAAATTATATTAAATTAAGAACTAAAATTTTGTCTCACAAATCTATATAAAAGATTAGTGTTACAATAGTCTAACTATTATTTTATACCTATAATATATGACAGTTTTTTTTTTTTACAATAAATTATTATTTTAATATCATTAATCCAATCTAATTTATTAGATAGCACGAAAAGAATTTAAGAATATAAAATGATTTTGTATGTGTTTTGAGTTTAAAATGTAAAGGTGTGGGGAATGGGTGGAAAAATGGATGTCAGTTTTGAGTTTTAAACTTTTTGAGAGGATTATTTTATTCCCTTTTTCCAATCCCTTCCCTTACGCCTTACCCACTGATTTCTTCTTCCCCCATTAAAACGATGTCGTTTCAATCAGTTTTTTTTTTTGCAATAATTCGCGAATGATACAGATACTCCAATAATTTGGCAGCCCTTTGTAAAATACGTAAATACGCGTTTTATATATGTATTTACTAACTAGGCAAAATACTATACTCACAATATTTTTATACAAACTTTCTCTCACAAACTCATGTGATAAAAGATGATTAACTTTTACCACATAAATTTGTGAGAGAAAATTTATATAAAAAAGTTGTGGGTGTAGTATTATTGATCTTTCACCACCAAAAAACTCATCGACCCCTCCCCCTCTTAGCCCTAACAGTCAGGATCGAATTTACTCTTTATTCATCACCAAAATATAAATTTGGATAATAAAATTATATTTTAAAATCTATGGATGGGAAAGTGTCATCAATCTAACCATGAATTAATCAGTGATAAAAAAAAGTCACTAACTGAGTTTTAGTGACTGGAGTCCAGAAAAGGGCATTCTTCTTTAAAATTTGGAAGAACACGACTATATGAAGTTAATTAAACCAAATAATAATCAAATGAAGTAAAAAGAGTTGAGCTTAAATCAACGAGTGCTTATTAGATGTAGTGCGAAGAATGAAAAGGTTAATTGATGTAGGCTGGCATTGTGTATGTTTTTGAAAGGCAGTAAAACAGTGAGACATGAAAATATAAAAGGAAGATTGAAGGAAAGGCAGACCTTGTTCAGGTAATTGAGTCCAGAGAAGATGGTGAAGCTGAAGAGCAACTCACAACTTCAGAGATGGTGTAGCTTATTATTGCAATATATTGTTATTTTACTTACTTTCAACCTTTTGATCACTACTTTCAGCCTATTTGTTATTTCGATATTTCTGGTGCTGTTTCTATCTATACAGAAGGATCAAAATGTGATTCCTCATATATTGTTTGAAGTATTAATTAATGATTTAATTCTACTTACTTTTAATGTCTTGATCACAACTTTGTAGACTATGAAATGAATTCAATTTGTATTTTGTTTCGAAATCTATGATGCTATTGCTATCTTATTAATAACTGAAATGAGATTTCTCGTATACTGTTTAAAGTATTCATCAATTCTACTTACTTTCAACATTTTGATCGTCACTTTGTAACTTGTGAAATGAATTCAATCTTATATGTCATTCGGATATCTATGGTGCTAGTAATGGAATCTATGGAATGAATTTCCTTTGATATTCATACTCAAATGCCCTTATGCTTTGATACCTTCCTGCCATCCTCATTGTCTCTAATTTTCTTTTTAATAAAATTTCTGTGCAAGTGATGAAAAGGGTTGGGAGGGAAGAAGTAAAAATGAAAGAGCTGTTAGCATGATTTGTACTTAATTATAGGAGATTGTAGTGTATCATATGATTATGTTAATTATAGGAAAGACTGGTAGAATTTCCTAATTGATATTGTAATTAGTGTTTCCCTGTAATTACGGTAATTAGATCAATTAGGTTCTCTGTTTTCCTAAATTAGTTGTTTCTGTATCTATATATTTTTTTGCCTCGGAGAGATGAATATATGAAAAAAACTGCTCCACTATTGTTCTGTTTGTCATGGTATCAGAGTAGGCATAATTGATATACCTGCTTCTGAAACTGTTCGTAAACTATAAACCTCTTGTTGCCTCTTTTTTTTTTTTTTTTTACCGTCCTAAATCATTACAACATACTTCCGCTGCTACCCTGATATTTCTCTCTACAAAAATGGTTGGTGATACATCTGATAATTTCAAAATTGCTCCTGAAAAACTGACTGGTCGCACTACCTATGATTCTTGGGCTCGTATTGCCCGCATGTCCATTACTAGTAAGAAAAAACTTGGCTATATTTCTGGCACAAAGAAGGCCCTAGAGAAAACTAATGCTGAAGCCTATGAAACTTGGGAGGAGGAAAATTGCACTGTTTAAACATGGCTACTTAATTCAATGGAGAAACATGTGAGAGTTCTCTTCGACCATCTTCTGTGACGTGCCAGAGTTTGCGACCTCGTAATGGGTTTATGAATGGGTAGAGAACAAGGATCGTTCTTGCGTACTCTACGTAGGATTGAATTCTGTAGGACACTTCGAGAGATCCTAGGCCTCCTTACTTGGTTTAATTCGAGAAAAACCATAACTCCAAATCAACACAAGGTTGAAGATAATACTGATAAGATAAAATTCATTCTTGGCCTCAAGCTATTAAATAGTTGAACAACTTTTGATGGAATAGGCAATAACCCATTATTACAAAAAGGAAAATTACAATCGCATAACTCTGGCACAAATTTATTGAAAGGAAATAATATTGATTGACAGGAAATAACACTAATTTAACTATTGATGGTAAGCATTAGTCACTCCCATCCCATGATTCTTGGTCCCTGACAACTCTTCCCTCCTTAAAAAATTCCTTGTCCTCAAGGAAAAAGCGTGTCTTCAATTCTGCTAGATTCTCCCATGTGGCCTCAGCAGGAGAGAGATTTTGTCAATGAACAAGAGCTTCAATTTCTCCTCATTTTTTGCAAGTTTCCATAATGGTTTGAGGAAATGGGTGGAGTGTCGATTCTGCTGGTAATTTGGGTAGAGTGGGAGAGATTTTCTCTTGATCTCTAATCCTCTTTTTAAGGAATTGAATTGCAATAAAAAAATCTCCTTTTCCTTTCCGCAACAGCTCCTCTAAATCACGATCACCCATGATTTTATTGCTAGGCCCTCTTGTCCCATATAACTCTATTGTTTTCCCCTCCCACCAAAATCTCATCCATGGCTCATTGAATTCCCAAATAATTGGACCCAAGTTTTTAAGCCATTGAGTTCCAAAAATGGCATTGCATCCTTCCACCGGTAAAAAGTAAAAATCCACGTGGAATTGAACCTTTTGCACTAAAATAGGGAGCCTTTCACACAATCCTTCACTTTTCATTTTATTTCCATCTGCCACTTGGACCGAAAATTCTCTTTTATTTGTAGGATAAATTCCCATTTTGGTAGCTAACTTTGAATTCAAAAAGTTATGAGTGCTACCGGAATCCACCAATATTGTAACCACGGAATCTCCAATTTTTCCAAAAAAAGGCATAGTTTGAGGTGCCACATTTCCTGAAATAGCATGAAAACTAATTTCGGGAATCTCTTCTTCCACTTCTTCCTCTATGGTAGTCTCATCTAATGGCTCATCAATAGAAGGAAAAATTCCTTCTATTAAAAATAACTTCTTGCAACGATGGCTCGAGGAAAATTTTTCGTCACAATTGAAACATAATCCACGCTTCCTCCTTTCTTGCAACTTAGCCAGACTCAACCTCTTGATGGTGGGGGTACTAGCTCGGGTAAGAGATGTTATGGGTAATGGTGGATGTTCCATGGTGGATGGAGCCTTTTGAGGTTCCACGTACCCTCCCTTCCATTGGTCATACATACGAGACTCATAGAGTCGTGCAAGACCGACAGCAGTAGACAATGAAATTGGATTACATGATTGCACGTCCACTCGTATTGCCTCCTTTAACCTGCTCACAAAACACCCAACTTGTTGTTCTTCAGACAAATGGCCAGCTCGATGTAACAAACGATCGAAGTCCCTTTGGTAATCGTAGATGCTTCCCGTTTGCTTAAGCTTGGTGAGATCCCCAAAAAAATTTGGTATCTTGAAGG